GTGGCCTCTCTGATTGACAGCCTATGGATGCAGCTTGCTAACTAAGCTAGCTAGTATTGATAATTTAGTAATCCACTACTGCGAAACACATGTGGCCACTTGTGGCTCCAAGAAAACTAACATGGCGAAGTCAGAAAGCCACAGTCGAGGCTTCAAAATGCTGTGGCTGCTTCCATCTTTTACATACAGTCTGTGTTTGGTACATGTTCAGCACCAGCAGAATCACGTCGAACATTTAATGTTGACCAAAGGCAGCTAAAACTTAAACAAGGCAAACAGCAGTGACTTTTAAAAACTGATAAAAAGTCATTGATGTTTATTTTTTCAATGAAAAAACAATGAAAAATACCAGATTTCATTTTATTGCATGAAGTCACTAACATTTAAAATTTAGAGGGCTTTTAAGTTTTCAGCGAGATGTTAGGGGACATCACCCTGAGCGGGACATTTGTGGAAAAGCATTAAAATGAAACTGAACAACTATTCTGAGAGTGTTGATAATGTTTTTGCAGCATGTGTTGAGTAAAAGCAGCTGAAACAAACACCTTCCTGAGTAACTCGTATTCATTTTTGTTATTTTTATTTCTTTATAAGAAAATGTTGGAAAATAAAGAGACAAATATCTGCAGAGCTCCGCGGGTCAGAGGACACGCGTGTTTCTGTTCATCACACATCAGCGTCATTAGAATATTTCGGGTTTGTGGAGCCTTAAACAAAGACTTCACCTTCAGCTCTGCGACACGTCACGATGGTGTGGGTGTGTGGGGGTGTCACGGCTCATTGGTTGTTTGTCTCAGTTGGAACCGCTGCAGCTCAGACGGGTCCGCGAGCTCATCTCTGCTGGAACAGCCGCGCGCGGCACAGCCACGGGCGCCTCTTTGTCTCTACCAAAGTGTCACTTCACAAAGACCACGCGCCGAAAACACCCACTCTCATCGCGCGTGACCCAAACGCTCAGCCAGGTGTCACCCTGCCTCTCAGCAAACATCGCAGGGTCGCACGTGCGCTCTCCACACTTGAACTTTTCGAGACAAAGCCCGGCCCTCGTGCACGAGCAGAACAGGTCTGAGGATCCGCGCGCACCTCTCCTCTCCTCCGACTCCCAGCCAGCTCCATGAATTATGGAGGGAGGCTATATTTGGAGCGTGGAGGCCGAGGGAAGGGGCTCGCTGTGCTGCTGGAGCTTTGTTCACTGTACGCGCTCATCATTTATTGACAGGTGCCACGCGCGCTCTCCTGCACGCGCACATTCACCCTCAGTTCTAATTAGGGGATGATGGGGGGAGGGGGGGGTGTTAACAGCTGTCCATCAGCTCCCCCAAAGCGCGCGTGTCCCAGTGAGGGCCGAGAGTTTCTCACACTTGCTTCATCATTTAGGACCTACTCCTCCTCCACCTCCTCCGCCCAGCCAGAGGAGGAGGACAGCCAGATATCTGCGATCCACGCGTGACGAGACAAAAACTACCAGTAAAGGCAGCGGGCATCCCCCCAGGATGGGAACAAAAGACCCTCTCTGACTCCCGGGAGGTGGGTGGGGGTGGGGGACTGTCACTTTAGAGTGAGGTTCAAGGCTGGG